AGTCAAAATCTTGTATGAATATTTGTTTGGAATCCAAGGCCCAAATTCAGATAGCAGTATGAATCATTAAACCTGTTTCAACCTTACCTTCCAGTCATCAGGTAAGATGTTTCAGAGCTTCCTTCTTAGTTTTTATCCAGAGACCCAAATCTTTAAAGCATAGAATCAGAGAATCAGAGAATCATGGAGTTGCTCAAGTTGGAAAAGACCTTAAAGATCATCGAGTCCTGCAACCTAACCATACTATCCTAATTCCAGCAACCCTCTGCTAAATCACATCCCTGAGCACCACATCTGAATGGTTTTTAAACACATCCAGGAATGATGACTCAACCACCTCCCTGGGGAGCCTATTCCAGTGCTTAAAAACCCTTTCTGTAAAGAAGTGTTTTCTGATATCCAACCTTAACTTACCCTGGCGCAACTTGAGGTCATTTCCCCTCATCCTGTCATCTGTCACCAGTGAGAAGAGACCAGCCCCACTCTCATTGTAAGCACCTTTTAAATACAGGAAGAGAGTAATATGATTTCCCCTCAGCCTCCTTTTTGCCAGATTGAACAGCCCCAGTTCCTCCAGTCTCTTCTCATAGGGCATATTCTCCAAGCCCTTCACAAGCCTTGTTTCCCTTCTTTGGACGTGCTCCAGCACCTTCATGTCCTTTCTGTACTGAGGTGTCCAAAACTGAACACAGTACTTGAGGTGCAGTCTCACCAATGCCAAATACAGGGGCAGGATGACTTCCCTAGTCCTGCTCACCACACCATTCCAGATACAAGCCAGGATGCCTTGGCCTTGTTGGCCACCTGAGCACACTGCTGGCTCATACTCAGCCGACTGTCCAACAGTACACTAAGGTCCATTTCCATCAGGCAGCTTTCCAGCCACTCCTCCCCAAGCCTCTAGGATTGTCTGGGGTTGTTGTGACTAAAATGCAGGACCTGACACCTGACTCTATTGAAACTCATACGGTTAAAAAAGCACTTGTCTTAAAGCACTTGTCTTTCACAGTAAACCTTTCAGAGTCCAACAATCCTTTATGAAGAGACTTGGCAATGAAGCTGCACTTTGTCTTTTAAAGCTTTCAGAGTTTACCTTTAAAGCAACTTGGAGCCCTGGGCAAGACGCACCAATTCTCCATCAAAGGGTTCACTGGCTCTAGGCAGTTTCCTGCTGTCTCATCTGTCACTCAGTGAGCCTCTGTGGCCCCCCCTGCATGCACTCTCATCATCTGCCTGTCATCGGACTCCCTCTTGTGTTTCTTACAAGTAGAAATGTAGTATTGGTAACACAGTTGTTTCGAAGTACAGTAAAAAAAATTTGCACTTGTTCCCCTCTATTGATGTTTGTGATCATGTTTCTCACACTTTCTGTGGAGCTTTTCACAATTTACACTTGCTGTCCTTAGATAGCACTTTTTTTTCTTCTTTTTTTAGACTGAGAGGCATTTTTATCATGTCATCTTAAAGGATGCTTTAACTGCTCTATAAACCAGATACCCCAAGATGTGTTCATTGTCTATGTGTACTATTAGAGATATAATTTCTATCTAGCTGTGAGTTTTGCATAGGTGCCTAGCATACCAATAAAACAGTGCCCACATTTGGCACTTACAGAGTACTTTTTCCAAGTTACCTTCTTCAATGTGTCTGACAGTTTTTTCCATTGCAAACAAAGAAAAAACAAACATTCAAACCATCACCACCACCCTTAAAGCCATCTACCAGTTATTTCCCGCTATATCTTATAGCTATAGTACGCTATCTTAAGTAAATGTAGCAAATGAACTCCTAATGGAGAAATGATTCCTAATTAAGGACTTTCAACAGCCTTTTTCCTTAGCATATAAGCAAAAATTGTATGGCTTGTTGGGCACAGGAATAAAACTAGAGATGAAATTAAATAATTGTAAGTTAAATTTCATCTAGTCTTGCTGGTATGAAAGATATTTCTCTTCTTCCATCCAATGTGAAATTCAAAGTCCATAAAACTCATTCTTGATTCAGTCCTGTTATTCTACCAGACTTGCTGGAGGAAAAAAACTTTTGATCTGGTCTCCTTCACTTATGTGACACATCACTTGTCTTAGCAACTCAATCAACTTTCCTTGACATTTGAGGATGACTATGATGGCAGTCTTTATCATTGACTCAAGTCCTTGACAGAAAATAAATAAATAAATAAATAAATAAATAAATAAATAAATAAAACAAAAATCCACAACTGTAGAATTATTACCTGCTTTTAAGGCAAGGCTCAAGGCTTACTGGGAGAAAAGAAAGATTTTCATACTAAATGTGAGATGTTTATGATTCCTCTGATGAAATTAATTGTAAATAGGACAAGAATAATTCATTTTTAGAAGAAAACTGCCCAAAATATTGCCCCAGTGTGTGGCAGATGAGCTGCATACTTAAGTCATCTGCTAGTATAATATACTTTAATAACAGAAGTACTTCAAAGCTTTAGATGAACAATTAAAAGCTGCCAAACTGATTTCTTTTTTCCAATTGGATGTCACAGATGGTGCATGAAATTCACAGATAAATACTGTTGTTTAACAGCAAAATAGTCATCTTAAAAAAAAAAAAAAAATCGCTTAAAGGGACACTATTTACCACTGCCTTTCAGGAACTTAAATTTAACACATCCATGCAAGTTGATTTAATAAGCACTGAAATTACAATATTTTTATTCATTTTTTTTGCAGACCCACAGATGATATTTCCCTCTGAGGTATACTTCAAGATTATCTTGAGACCACCTGTTTGCATAGATTATATATGCCCCACTCTGACCATGGACAGGGCTTCTGGACATATCTAAATCATATTACATGCTCCAGTTTGCACCGAACAAAAAACAACTCAGATGCGCAAACACAAAATGCTGCCTACCCACTTGGCAGATTAAACTTTTTGCTTTTTCCATATTTTTTGCTATACATATTTCTTTTCGTCTCTTCTGTAAGAGAAGTGGTATGACTATGCTGAGGAAGTTCAAAAAACTAAACGGTATATTCAGATTGGCCCTTTTTATCTCGTTTTAAAAATCATTTTGCATGCAGGTATGTTAAGAGAATATGTAAAATGCCATATTCTTTATTTTGGCATCATTTCTACCCTGGTATGTGTGAGTTAATTCTGACTGTTTCAATTTATTAAACTGTTTCACCACTTAGTTTCTCATTAAGGATAAGAATAAGCTGTATTGCTAGTTCAACTATACAGATTTAATCAAATTAAGTACATTTTTCAGTGTATTACTATCATCTTCAATATGTGATTTGTTCAAGTATATTGCGTTTCAAATATATTTAGAATGGATTATGATTTTATTCTCTTAAAAAATTCCATGGACATTTCTGGCAGTATTTAATGGGAAACAAGTGCATGTAAACATGTAGTGCAGGTAGAAAAGAGCAGAACCCTAATGTAGTTCAGCATCATAACAATACCAGACTGTTCATTAACATGAATATGTCAGTAAAAACTGGAATTATTTATTTAGAACCTAAAATTATTTTTTCATCTCTTTCTTTAAGAACCAGTGAATACAAATTAATTAATGCTTTCCTACAAGTATTTAAATACGACTTGTGCTATTTCCAGCAGATCTGGATTACTACTCATTGTATCAAATAAAATCTTCAGTTTATATTGAAATCAACTAGCTTAAGTGACTAACCAAAGAGAAATAGCCAAGGGAAAATTTATACACAAACTTTCAAAAGCAATGACCTAAAAACGTGTCAGCAACCTGCATGTTAACAGAAGACTATGCAGTCTCAACTCAGTGAATTAAGGAAATGAATTATATCTCCATATCAGAGTAAAATGCTGGAGTGTTAATTATTTCTAAGCTCAAAAGGGAAAATACACTCATTTTACAATATATAGACAAATCAAGACTACTCAACTATGAGTAACAATATTGCTGAACAGAAGCCAATCTTAGAAATGACACTCTGGTTTTCTCGTTTCACGTTATACTTCAGTAAGGTACAGAAGTTACAGCTATACCTAAGTTACACTTCCAGAGTAGGCTATAAGCCTACCTTATTTTTAGTCCTTTGTAGGAACCTAGCCACCATGCTGGGAAAAAAAATAGCAGTGACATCTGTATATCAAGAATAACAGCAGGTGTGAAGACAATTTCTGTTGTGCAGATTCAGGCACTACTTTGGGTCATCAGAGTGCTTATTTAATTGCATCATCAATCACAATTAATTCTTTTAAGTTTTAATCAAATTATACTAAAAGGATATAAAGAAGAACCAAAGCTCAAGATGATATGACATTAGTAGCCCAAGAAGACAAAAGGCAAGGGACATGTCTAATGTAGAACAAAAAGGTAAGATTAAAAAGAAACGAACTCTCAAGTAGAGCTCTGTACCTTCATGGACCCTAGTGAGTACCTGGTCCTTATTCTATACCTATCTTTTATGAATGTTGTCACAATTTAAAAACCAGGCAACAATCAAGAAGAAACAGATGAATGGGAAAGGCCTTAGAAAATACTACAGGGGGAAAACACACTTGATTATCAGAGAAGAAATACCAATGCTTTCTTAAATGAAAAGAGCCAGAGAAGGAAAAACCGGTAAGATGAACAGTAAAATCCCCCTGAGGACATAGCTGTACTGGTGGTCTGAAATAGTTCATTTTAACAGTCTTGTAACCAGTGCCAAAAACTGATGCCCACAGAGTCACTTGAGAGTATCTTCAAAAGCAAAAATTTGAGTCTCCAAAAATTTGTAGTGTTTCACTCTACAAACCTAGCACAGGCTAGGGTGAAAGAAAATGGAACACACGATTGATCAATGCCAGAAGCAGAGAAACCCCTAAGAAAGTTATTGGTAGTGTAGCTGGGCAGGAAATCTGATCCCTGACACTTATTCATAATGCCCACATCCTTGTACTGCCCTTAAGAGACTTGAAAATGGCATCTTGTATCAGTAACATGTACTAATTTTCTTTTTTTCTTTTCTTTTCCATCCCAGGAGGTGAATTAGTTATTCCTCTACTTGTAGAAGACCCTTTAGATATCCCTCCTATTGCTACTCGTGCACCTTTCATTACACTTCCCCCTACCTTTCGCCCCCTCCTCACCATTATTGAGACCACCAAAGATTCCCTGTCCATGACCTCTGAGGCGGGGTTACCTTGCTTGTCGGACCAAGGCAGCGATGGTTGTGATGATGATGGCTTGGTGATATCTGGGTATGGCTCAGGGGAAACCTTTGACTCTAACCTACCCCCTACTGATGATGAAGATTTTTACACCACCTTCTCCTTGGTAACAGATAAGAGTCTTTCCACTTCAATCTTCGAAGGTGGCTACAAAGCACACGCACCCAAGTGGGAATCCAAGGACTTTAGACCTAACAAAGTCTCCGAAACTGGTAGGACTACTACCACGTCTTTGTCCCCTGAGCTGATCCGCTCCACAGCTTCGTCCTCGACTGGGATGGTACCCAAATTGCCAGCCGGCAAAATGAATAACCGTGAGCTCAAACCCCAGCCTGACATAGTCTTGCTTCCGTTGCCCACTGCCTATGAGCTAGACAGCACAAAGCTGAAGAGCCCGCTAATCACTTCCCCCATGTTCCGTAATGTGCCCACAGCAAACCCCACGGAGCCAGGAATCAGACGGGTTCCGGGGGCCTCAGAGGTGGTCCGCGAGTCGAGCAGCACAACGGGGATGGTCGTCGGCATTGTGGCTGCTGCCGCCCTCTGCATCCTCATCCTCCTGTACGCCATGTACAAGTACAGGAACAGGGACGAGGGGTCCTATCAGGTGGACGAGACGCGAAACTACATCAGCAACTCAGCCCAGAGCAACGGCACGCTCATGAAGGAGAAGCAGCAGAGCTCAAAGAGTGGCCACAAGAAACAAAAAAACAAGGACAAAGAGTATTATGTGTAAAAAAGAATACTTATTTATATATATAAATATATAAATACTTAATGAGATTTAACTATCAGAATCATTGCAGTGAACGAGATTAGGAGATATCGTTTGTGGGAAAAAGTATTGGGAAAAAAAATATCAGCAGTGACTGTTAATGTCTCAGTCATCACTTGGAGTCAGCAAACTCTGCCCTAATGTATTATAAAGCACACTTAGCGTTCTGGAGATGGCGCATACAGCTCTGCCCTGTTAGTGAACTTGGACGTCTCCAAATCTCCTCCTCCGCTGAACTTTCTGCAAAAGTAGAAGACTTCATGGCTTACTTGTTTCATATCTCCAAGTGAGTCTTTAACAATGTTCGTGATTCCTGACTGTGTCAATAATTTTGCAGTTTAGTTATTAAAAAAAAAAAAGAAAAAAATGCAAACATTATTAAGCAACAAAAAAAATATCTAACAAACTGATCTGGCTGTGTCCAGCACACCTAATTTTTTGAGATTGGAGGAGGGGAATAAATGATTTTGGAGATTGTTGGATTTTGATTTGGTTTGGTTTCTTGGGTTGTTTTATTTTTGATTTTGTTTACTTTTGGGCGTGGGAGGAAAGGGTTGAAAGGAATGTCGTGGGAGTGGGGAGCATGAACCAGGGATATGTGTTGAGAAGAAATCTCAGAAAAAAATCCATAATAAATAAAGAGAGACTATTGCCATATATGAACTCAAAAGCTACTCATGGTGTTTACTCTGCATATCTGGTTGTGTTGTCTCTAGAAACCGTCGTCTTGCAGTAAGTTATTTGCTAACAATGCAGTCAAAGTGTGTGATGGGTGCTGATGAAGAAAGTTTCATGGAAAGCTGGTCCCCTTGGATCTGCCACCAGGATTTGCAAATGAACTGAAGAATAGATGGGTTTGGGTCTGTTCTGATCAGAATCATTGGAATTATTTGAGAATATCACTCAGTATGCATTAGCACAGCCAAACCACAGTTAAGAGGATTTGAAGATTCAAAAAAAGAATGCTTAAGAAACAGTTAGTCATTCTGAGCTAAATATACCATGCAAAAATAAAGGAGCCTTCCTCCAGGTTCTAGTTCTGTGACTGATTGCAATGCATGCAAAAAAAAAAAAATCAGTTTAATAAAGGGATCAGAGAGACACCACTGGAGTTCAACTTGTGATAAGACCCATAAAATGTATGAAAAGTTAATCACTTGTAAAAGAATGCAAAAATGTATAGTTTTTTTTTTTGACATGAAACTGTTTTTTCATATGTAATATTTTAATTTTGTAGCTTGACATTTCAGATCATTGTCTTTCCATTTGCCCTATTCTCTCTTTTCCTTCTCTTTTATATAAAAGAAAATAAAGCTGCTGTGACACACAAAATAATAAAGAAAAAGGAATTTAATAATATTATATATATACACACAGATATATTTATCATGGTATGCTTGATGGGACGACTGGAACAGAAGTTCTGTTATGGTCTTAATGTGGAATAAGAATGTTCTTGAAGAACAAAGTAAAAAGAAACAGAAAGCAAAAGCAAACCGTAAGATGTGAAGAAAGCGTGTGTTTTAGCTTTGTCACAGTTATCTGTGTCAAGAAAAAATATCTGAAAGTTTGTTTACATATTTTACTACTATTTTTTTTGCTAGTATAATTTCTATATGAATACCCTGAAGGTGTCTATACTGTTTTATGGTTAAATTGGGAATGTCTTTTGTTTTTAACTAATTTAATTTGGTTGTTTGGTTCCTACATTTTCCCAGTTACTGTGAAAAGGATTATCTTACTGTATAGAAAAATAGCCAGGTGGTTTGATGGCCATACCTGTCACATACAAAAAAAAAAAAAGCAAGTGAGGGAGAAAGAGAGAAAACCAACAACAACAACAACAAAAGATGGATTGAGAACTCTGGAATATCAGAAATGTACACTTTTTCTGTATACAGATGAAAACTAATCAGCTGTTTAGGTTTAGAAATCTACTCTTGCTGGTGTTCATAAGTCGCATGAATATTTGACTTTGAAGAAGTGTCATCAAATACACACACGCACATGGGAACTTAAATTCAAACAAACAGCCTTCTCAAACACTTAGAGAAGCTGCTTTCATGTTAACAAATATTTTCAGTGTGTATGTGTGTGTGGTGCGTGTGCGTGAGAGGTTGAGCTTTTTTTTCCTTTTTTATTTTTTATACTAAAAAGAAAAAAAAGACAGGTTTTAAAAAGGTATGAAAGCACGATTTTAGATGATTTAACTGGCCAAAACTATATAGAGTTGATTATATCTTGATGTCTGTAAAAGATTGCTGTTCTTGGAGTCTTGGAGTCTTGTGAAATGATTTCCTTTCTTCCTTTCCTTTTTGCTTTCCTTTTCTAAGTTAAGAGGAAAAAAAACAATTACACTTTCCTTTTTTTGTGTAAGTTTCTATTGGACAGTTTTGGGGAACATGTGCATTCCTGTATGTGGGCTTCTACCATATCCCTGTTGCTTTATAAACAATCTTAAGAATTTTTATTTGAGTTACTGTGATGTTATTGCTTTTTTCACCATTCTTTTCTTCCTTTTTGATTCTTTTTCTTTTCTTATTCGCATTTTGTTTAAAGATACGCTTAGCAATAAAATGTTCTTCCCAAAGCCCTGGATGTTGCTGGGTTTTTATTTCCAAAAGACTTAAGGGAAGTTCCAACCCTTTAAATATGAAAAGCATTCTCTACTACAAGTGTCCCACATGAGTGTCTCATCAATAGATTACAAAATCATGCTTGTTATTCTTTCTTTAATCCAATGAATCTGAATTCTTTCCTTTACAAGGCATAAATTCAACTTGGAATAGAATATGCTTCATACCACTCCCAGTCATCACCACAGTGGGTAAAAGAATAGTTTTAGAGTAGATCTTATTTCCTCTTTTTTTTGTTGTTGTTTTTATTCTAACATTTGCATGGCTGAAAATATTCATGTACATATATTTTTCATTCAGCTACATTCAGTTTCTTTTGTGAATCATACTCTAACACCTTACAGACCCCTCACAAGGCTCTAAACCAGAAAATCCTGTCTAAACTTCTCCCCATATTTGTCCCTCTCCTAAAATCATGACATTCCTTGGTGATGACTGATACCTAACATTCCCAGTACTGTAAAAGTCCCTTGGCAAGAGAAAGATGTAGGTCTGAATGGTCTCAAGTTTTCTGAAAAATTTTTTTTTTTTGCCTCAGTGGTTTTCTTAAACCTGCCGTAATTCACACAATTATGAAATGTTACATGAAGGAACTTCAGCCTGAAGTATTCTAGCCCTATTGCTACAGCCGCTCCTTTTGATTTTCTCTGTTGTGTAATGAACATTTTATCACTTGGGTGAATGAAAGTGTCAGAAAGAAGGCTTTATTTTTGCCTAAAAGGTGTAAGTTTATTGTGTAGTTTTGGCCCATCACAAAATCTCAGAATTTTTGACGATAAAAGGGACAATCTAAGTCAGCTTTGCAGACCTCAGGGACCATGTCCAATCATGCTTTGAATATTCCCACAGACTCCAGAACCAATTTTGGCCACCTGTTTGGTGTCTGACAGCCCTCACAGTAAGCATGCTTTTTTGTTGTGTTCAGATGAGATTTCTTTTGTTTTCTGCACACCTATTTCTTATTTTTTTTCTGGGCACCACAGAAAAGAGCCTGATTTAGCCTTATTTCTATCTGCAGTTTATACACTACTCATTTAAGTCCCCTCCCTGAACATTCCCTCCTTCAGGCTGAACAGCTCTATAGACCTCTCCTTGTACAGCAGATGCTCTAATTCCTTATCCATCTTTTAGGCCCTCTGCTGGACTTGCTGATTTCTGGAAAATCTGGAGTAGATAATTACCATACCATGATCTCTCAGCTAGGGATATAGCTCTTTTTTCAAGAACAAAGGCTTGGTAATTGCTTCTCTCAGCATTTCCCTACAGGTGAGCAATATCTTACTTTTAGATCCCTGCATGAGATACTTAGTGTACTCTTCACGAAACTGTTCATCACAACACAAACTGTTCTGCTTTCTGTAGAGGTTTTTCACAGCCTCTTCAGGCCAAATGCTAAAACACTTCATGAAGATTTGAGCACAGAAACACTCAATTCTGCCTAGTTCCAGTGTTACAGGAAAGGAGTAATGAGGAGCATCTTCATAGCTGGTTCATTTTTCAGGTGCTTCTGTTCCTGCCACCACACTGAGAGGGAAGCGCACAGGTGCTACTCTTCTCCACAATTGCTGTGGCTGGCTGGCTTACTTTCCAAGACATGAGAAAATATTCTTCAGAGAGTCTAATCATAATGATTAAAAAACAAAGATCTCTGCACCCAAATTCAGTCACTGGGTGTTGCTGTTTCCCAACAAAGGCAAAGACACATGAATTATAATTAACAGACATGATTTGACACAAAGCTAAAGCTCCGCATTTTGTTTGTTTAATTAAACACTTTTTAAAACTATCAGCATGGAGGGAACCGCCAGGATCACAGACTTGTCATATTTTCTGTATGTACAGATAGAATCATTAAGGTTGGAAAAAAACAGTAGGATCATCTAATCCAATCATTGACTCACCACCAATGGGTGGTGCTGGCTAAATCAAGTCTTTAAGTGCCACATCCACATTTCTTGCAAACCACCACTTCCCTGTGCAGCCTTTTCTGTGTAGCTGTTCCTATTCTATGACGCCAAATCTCTAGATGCTAAGGTTGGTATGGTCCACAGAAGATAGTACTTCACAGCAGAACAAATGCCTGCCTCACATTCAAGCTGAGGCAGTGAGAAGGAAAGGCAACAAGACTTGCTTCCAGCTCTGAGCACCACACAGCCTCCTGGGGAGACCAGGAACACTAAGAGAAGACTATTGCCTGGATGGGTTCTGAGATGAAATGTGCCATGACAGCAATGAAGTAATTCCAACAAGAGCTATCATTATGAATGTAGAAGGTTGGAGCGGGAAGTCTTGCCTTACTAATTTTTCCAGTAAAACTTTCACTGATGAGGAGTATCAATGTTTCTTAAGTGGCCCGACAAACAAAATTAAAACTTACCTAATTTCACAGAACACTATATCAAGATTGTTTCATCTCAGTCTAGTTTTTCCTCAGATCATGCACATTGCATACTGCAATATTTTCTGTCTCCAAATGTTTCTGATAACCTGTATTTTCTCAAAAGCCTGTTCACATCATGTTTCACTGACCTATAGATATGGTGCCATTCAAATAAATTTTCAGTAAACATTTTAGTCTACAGGGATTTAATGTTCATGGACTGTTCAACATGGATAACATGAGAGAGGTCCAGAGCATGCACACACAAGAGTGTGTGTTGAACTGCATACAACTGACAAAGGGCTTAAAGGCATTTAAGTGGATAATTCTTACTGAAAACAGGGAAAATCAGCTACACAAACACCTGTAAAAACTGAGGTCATTTCACTGTAATGGTCAGAGAATGTCAAACAACTAGTGTTAATTGCTTGGGCTTCTAATGTATGAAATAATACAGGCAAGTGGTGGACAAGATCCCTGTAAACATAGGGTTTACTGTATTACTTCCCACCAAAGCATGAGACAAATTCAGAGGGCTGAAAGTCAGAGGCCTGCTATACATTACCTGAATAGAAATCCACTTCAACAAATAAGCAAAGAACTGTATGAGCATGTTATGCGCTTAAATTCATTTGAAACTTTGTGATCCCAAGCTCCGTACAAAATCAACAGAAACACAAACCCCTACTCCTGTCACCAACCACAACTTCAAGTCATTCAAAATTTTCATCTGTCACTCCATTTATCTCTTCTCTATCTGTTCACAGAAGACAACAAAGGAGCAACCTCAATGTACAGCAGCTGGGAAAAACTAAACATGTTTTCTTCAGTGATTTTAACCTAGGCACTATGCCTAACAGCTTCAGCTGGAGCACACCAAAAATTAAACTCACTGGGAAAGATATTTAATAAAATATCAATATATTTATTAATCCTGCCAAAGACTTTGGTACAGTATGAAAAAATACTTGGATTTCAAAAGTAGTTACTTAAAATGTTAAAATACTGGATTACAAAATGAGACTGAATCACATAATAAAAAGAACAGTGGAAATGGAGAAATTCTGAAAACCATCAGTAATTATATCCAAATGATTTCCTCAGTTCAGATAGTACTTCAGAGTTCTCAGTCTTACAGTTTGGCAGAGTAATTTGCAGCAAAAATAAACAAGTGGTAGTAACAAGAAATCTTTAGTAAAGGGATAGAAAGTGGGAAGATAACTCACAGAGTAAGAGGAGCTCTTCTGTGGAACAATATCCAAAAGCTATTTGTAAGAGCACATGGAAAGGTAGAAAAAGCACCCACATGCAGCATACTAAAGCAGTAGGTGAAGACTGAGATTTTGGTTTCATAGAACGGCTTGGGTAGGAAGGGACATCAATGATCAGCTAGTTCCAACTCCCCCACTGTATGCAGAGTTACCAACCACTGAATCACACACTAGATAAGTTGCCCAGAGCCACATCCATCCTGGCCTTGAAGTCTCCAAGGATGGGACATCCACAGCTTCTCTGGGTAACTTGTTCCAGTGCCTCAACATCCTATAAGTAAATAATTTTCCGTTAGCATCTAATCTAAGTCTTCCCTCTTAGTTCAAAACCATCCCCCTAGTCCTATCACTATCCTACTGTGTAAAAGGTCAGTTTCCCTCCTGATCGTAAGTACTGGAAGGCCACAATGAGGTCTTCCCAGAGCCTTCTCTTTTCCAGGCTGAACAAGCCCAGCTCCCTCAGCCTGTCTTCAAAAGAGAGGCATTCTAGTCCTCTGATCATCTTCATGGCCCTTCTCTGGACACATAGCAACAGTTCCATGACTTTTTTTTTTATGCTGGGGGCCCTGAACCTGGATGCAGTACTCCAGATGGGACATCACAAGGGCAGAGCAGAGGGGGACAGCCACCTCTCTCTCACTGCTGGCCATCCCTCTTTTGTTGCAACCCAGGATACAGCTGGCCTTCCAGGCAGCACACTGCAAACTTCTTTTTCCAAAGCCAAAAAAGTAAGATAAGAAGTGTCAGCAATATTACTGTTTGTGTAATTCAAATCAAGCCCTCTTTGTCCATCTGCATTATAAACTAGAGTTTACTTGCATCTTGCTTTGTTTTCACCCCAAATCCCAACCTCACCTAGACATAAAGAACAAGACTCTTTCAGTAGGTCTATTTGCACTCTTTAAGTATTTGATCCTCAGTGCTTCTGTTGCATCATATAATGCATAATGGTTTATTCAGTCTTGACCATTTCCAGATTCACAGACATTAATCTACATCCATAGTTACCTTGTGAGTTGTTCCCTGTATCTCCTCTATGTAAGGGTGGAAAATAAGTCCTGCCTGGGGTTATATCTATAGTTGTAACAAGATTAGCCCTTAAAGCTTCCAGACTCCTGCTCTCTTTACTTATGTCTCTAAAGTACACTGTCTGTGGTGCTGCCAGAGGTAGAATACACCCAGTCCTCATATTAACTTTAGCCTCTCTAAACAAAGATCCGGCTGTCAGTTTCTAAAGACTTAGAGCACATAAAAGAAACACAGGGACTTCTAAAAAGACAACAAGCCCTTTTTA